ACCTTATTATTTTGCTTATAAAACAAAGGAGTTTGATTTAATGGAAGGTTATGTATTTGATTTCCTCAAGTACTTCATTTATCTGACTGAGGTAAACCTTCCCAAATAATTATATATCCAATAAATTAAGTTTATAAATACAGCAAATCTTAAATCATTTAAAATGTTCCAAAACTGTAAAGACACTTAGCAAGATTTCAATGTAAAATTCAAGTCTAAATCAATTACTCAACATTCTTTAGTTGATATTACAAGGTAAACCTATTAAACTAAGAAGCAAACTCTCTTCCACATGTCAAGGATTGAAAATACAAATGGCATATATTCCTTAAAGCAAATGTAGTAATGCTGTGGCGTTGATGTTCTTAAACACATCCATCCTTCATCCTAAGTCCTCTAGCATTAAGATGCAGACCTATAAAGGAAGCAATTGATGCTGCCCTGATAATTTCAAGGTTGCCTTCCCAGATGGCTGAAGATATAAACCAGAAACACTGGTTGGATCAGTGACTGGATTCTAAGGACCCAGAAAGTCCTACTTGCATCCTCTGAAAGCCTGAAGGACCTCCACTACTTACAGAAGTGGTCACCCAGTTCATATACCTGGGTTCTATGCTCTTTAGTACCTAACTGCATTTTCTCATGGAAGTCTAGAACCCCAACTAGGATGCCGTATACCCTCATTGAGTGATGCATATCCTTGGATTTGAAAACAGCTTAAAGTCTTTCCATCTTGGGGTGCCTGGCTGGCTCAGTTGGTAGACCATGCCACTCTTGATCTCAGGGTCATGAGTTTGAGCCCCACACTGGGCATAAATAATTACTTAAAAAATAATAATAAAAAGTATTTCCATCTTGAGAATTCCTGCTTTCTTTTTATATTCTTCCTTTCTGGGAGGATCACAACTCCTACAGGTATTAAAATGACAGTTGGTTAAGTGCAAGACTTCTTCATAACTTTGACTTTTAGTCACAATTCCTAAGGCTCTCCTGGTTGAACTCTGATCTTTTTTTTTTTTTTTTAAAGATTTTTATTTATTTATTGAGACACACACACACACAGAGAGGCAGAGACACAAGCAGAGGGAGAAGCAGGCTCCATGCTGGGAGCCCGATGTGGGACTCGATCCCGGGTCTCCAGGATCACACCCCTGGCTGCAGGCCCGCTGTGCCACCGGGGATGCCCGAACTCTGATCTTCTTGCCTCCACTCCATTCTCCACTCCACTCCAAAGCCCCTGCGCAACTGGCTTTCCCTCTAGCATTCAGCACCCAGCTTTTCTTGAAATTTTCACCTCTCAACATTACCTTTTGTTTACTCACCCCCATGCTGACCAGATAAGCAGGGTACCCCTACTCCATCCCCAATACTGTGGAGTTCGGCCCCCTTTTCAATTCTCCCCCAGTCATAAGTCTTTAAGGCAACAGATCTCACTCTAGAAAGGAAGAGAAATCTGGTATTACTTGTTCATACTAAGGCATGGATAATGAAGACCCTTTTATGCTGGGTAAACTAGATACTTCCTAAGGGGTAAAGAAATAAAAGAAAGGAAACAAACATTTACTGGGCACTTAATAGGCACTGTGCAGTGAGCTGTTTCACTTGAGGTGTCTCGTTTATTCTCTATAACCACATGAAAGGGCCTGTTAAGAAACCAAAGCTCAGATATATCTCTCTGTGACTATCATAAATAAAAAAAAAAAAAAAAGAAAAAGAAACCTGCCTTAATCTTGGCAGATTTAAAAAAAAAAAAAAAGACAAAGCTCAGATATGGCAAGTGATCTGACCATCTCAATATTGGGAATGGTGAAACCAAGATTCAAACCCAGTCTATGCAACTCCAAAACTTGCCCTTCTCACTACACTGCTTTTCTTTCTTCAATCAAATCCTTCCTAGTCAAATGGTGGCAGAATGAAAGAACAATGTCCTGGTGGGAAATGCTGCCTTACCATTTACTCTGTGACCACTTGCAATTCTGTGGCCCATTCACTCCGGAAAAGCTCTCCTAAACCCTCACCCCAACAACAAACATACAGTGCTCTGTTTAGACAGCATTTTCACATATGTTGTCTCATCTATACTGTAAGCAAGGTAGCAGCAGTTACTAGCCAATTTTAAAGATGAGAATGAAGCATAGAGACAAACATGCCCAAAGTCACCCAGCCTGTGAAAAGTACACCTAAGATTCACACATAAGTTCACTGTCCCTGATCCTTCTGTTCTTTCCACTCAGTCAGTGTCCTCCACAGACACTCTTCTGTCCCATTTCCTTTGTTCTTCTGGGGATTAGGTGGTCAACAGTGCCTAGGTCTTTGCCTCTGTTCCTCAAGACCCCATGTTGGCATAACCATCTTTATCTCTAGTGTTGCCTTTCAGGCATTCAGGCTCTTACAAAGACTTATGGTCTTTTCCATTTTGCTCTCCCAACAAGCCATCTCCTCTGAGATTCTGCTTTGAGCACTGTGTCCTGAGACAGTAGGATCCCAAAAGCCCTGATGCCAGCAGTTTCCTTTGCTCCAAGCACTAACTAAACACTGTTCACAGACATCTGAGTCTTAATAATAAACCATTTCCTAAGAATTCATGCTGAACTGAGTATTTTTAAAACATTCCCACATATACTTAAGACAACAATGCAAGTCATGTGCTATTTCCCACCCTCAGAGATGAAATGGCCAAGACTGAGAGCCTTTAAACTCACCTAAGGATAGAGTCAGGAAGCAGCAAATAGGGACTTCAAACCCAGGAAGCACATCTAATGCCTCTATTCTTATCAGGACATCACACAAACCCTTGTGAAAACAAGGATCACACTGACAGTAAAGTGGGTACGATTTTGCTCAAATAACGTAAGTCAAAAGCTCACTACTTGAAAACTTAGAGGGAACCTTCTTAAGCCCATGGTTCTGCTGCCTCTAGATAGTATGGTGGCCTCTGCACCAATCTCCTTGTCTCCTGTGTCCCTGTCTGCTTTGCTGCCACTTTGTACACACCTTCAGTGACTCTTACCCTGGCCGGCAGCAGTTCTGATGCTTTCTATTGTCACTGACATTGTGTTTCGGATATTTTTAATATTCCAGAAAAGAGATTTTGGAAGATCGTTCCCCATGACAGTGGTATGATAGGGTCCTTGTGAATCCGGTCACTGAGGAGTAGGGACTGTTAACATGTGCAGGAAAGTTTATACTCATACTTCTGCTCTGCTCTGCCTACAAGTCAACAACTAGACTTGCCGTGAGACTAGAAGCAGGACTTTAATTGGAAAGCTAGATGAGGAATAGAGGTAAAGGCTTTGAGAACCAAAAGCGCTGAGCCTTGCTATGAAATTTACTCTGCTAAGACTTTCTTTACAAACTGTATTTCACACAGCCCTGATAAGGTAGGTAATGTTATCCTCGGACAATATGAAGGAGTTACAAGCAATCTGTCATTTGCCCGAGGTTATACAGAATGCAGATCTAGGATTCAAAGCCAGATATGCAAAGCCCTCGTTCTCAACCACTATCCTATGTTGCACTATACACTATATACTGAAGAGGTAATAAAAATCTAGCCCAGACATAGGTGAGATTTTGGGTTAAGGAGCAGGGCTTCCCTCAAGGGCAGGACTGACCTCAATGACAAGGTAGGTTTTAAGCAAACTGAATAAAGCACAGCAACATTTTCTGGGGCCAAGGAGAAAGGCTTCCAAGGCCTGGAGCCAAAGAAATCTAGAAGCAAAGAAGTGAATACAAGGTGACTACAGGATGGTCTACAGTCCAGAAATGACTTGGCGCAAGCTAGAGAGGGGGTCTTCTCCACCCATGAGGCTGGGGACCACGGTCAGATGTAAGATGTTGTGCATGGCTATATAGGGGCACTGCGGAGAAGCCTAGCTCATAGTGGGGTGGCTGGGCATTAGGGCAGACTTGTAATCAGGAGATCTCAGTGTGGAAGACGCTGAGAATTCCAGGCAGCCAGAATGTATCTCAGGCTGACATCTGAGTAACCGTACCAGCATTTCTTCCAAGTAGAGTGGCAGAGTGGCTCCAGAGGCCAGAATGCAGACAGACTTCTCACAAAGAGGACAGTGAAAGGGCTACAAAGGAGCAAGTCCAATCCATGTGTACTCCAGGGCAAACCTAGACCAGTAACCAAAATGATTTCCAAAGATTTCTGTGACTAACCAAAGGGTTTTCTTTTGGGGCCCATCATCTGGTTCCTTCCTAGCAGTTATTAACAAAACCCTTAAACACAGAGGAGCAGTGTTTGGGAACTGGCAAAGCAGTCAGAGGAGAAATGTATGCTCTTTATTACTTCCCAACCCCTGGTTCTCTTCCAGATACCAGCTTAGACTATGTTACTTCCTGGAGGAAGCCTACTGTGAACACCCAATTTCTCCTCTGCACATCTGTGATGCTAACTGCCTGTTTGGTGTCCCCACTGAACTGAGAGCACATGGGTACAAACTAGTACAGGGTCTAAAGCAGAAATGCTCCAGGACACTTTGAAAATGCTAGCTATTAAGATTCCATTCCAGTCTGTTATTTTTTTGGATTCTCTTCTGAATACCCCTGTACTCCAGAACCATCTTAACCTACATATAATTTAAATACTTTGAGGATAATGGGATGAAACTGAACCAATGGAGCCCAACATGACTGCTGTGGTATCTCACAATGTGAAGTCAGCATAGCTCCAGGAGTGACGGGAACCCATTCAGCTGCCCTCACCCCTCAAATGGTGTTAGGAGAGCTCATACCTGATGGTTTCTTACCCTGATCCTGGGTGGGTGTGGAGAATGGTAAACTCTGGTCGACCAGGCAGAAGGTATCAGACACTTCCCTGTTTCCCTCCCTCTAAGGCTTAGGTACTAAGGCCCTTTTGTGCGCCTTCAACTCAGTAACTGTCTACAGGACATTTTCCTTGTTCTTTGCTACAGTTTTCTTGAGAAGAGAAATCATTGGAAATCTGCTCACAAACCGCTAAGATCAAGTTTTTGAATAAGTTACATAATAAATCTAACAACCACCACCACCACCACAGCCATTTATTAAGTGCTTGCCAGGTACTGTGCTAAAGCTTTACATTGTTTCAGTTAATCCAACAACCCTGAGGTAGATATTCTCAACATCCCCCCTCAGTTCAATACATATCATTAGAGTTGAGGAAACTGAGGCTCAGAAAAGATAAGTCAATTATCAAGGTTAAACCTGCTAGTTAAGTAGTAAAGCTAGAAATCTGAACCAGACACCTGGCTCTAAAATCCATGCTTTAAAACATTATCTGAGACTGTTTCTCACTGGAAGTTAAAGGACACATACTCCTTCCCCAAATACTATCTGAAACACAGACTTCAGGTAAGGAAGAAGGTGAGGCCTCACTTTTTCACTTTAGTCAGCTTTTGTAAATACTTGGAGGCATCAAGATAGCCTGGGTAAGCTGATCACCAAGTCCCTGCCTTGCTACCCCAGCTTCCACGGCTTTTCTCATCTAAGACCTCCGCTCCTGGTATCAACTACTCAGTATGCTGTTTCTCTTCCAGCAATTGCTGAAATCCAGAGGCCAGCCAAACTTGGTGACTCAGAGCATTGCCAAAGACACCTGAAATAAACTAGGAGACATTCACAAAATGCCCACCATCCCCGACTGTAAGGCACAGATGCATTTAGATGGGAACACAGAACTGCTTTTTCCACCCTCGCTTGCCAGGCCTGGATCCATACCTGGGGATTCTCCTACCCAATCCCTCCTCACTGGCTCTCCACCATCTAAGACTCTAGGTACCCTCCCCTCACCCAGCTCTGGAGGCCCCATAGACCACAGGTCCCTGGGCCTCAATGTTGCCAGTGTCTAAGGCCTCGTCCCCTAGAAATGTACCAGAAAGTGCTCAGTTTTGGCTACACTGAGGACCCAAGACCTATGATGATTAAACAGAGATAGTTGAAGACTAGCAAAAGGGCCACCAGAGTTAGAAAAGCTAATCAGACTGCATAGAATTAGCAAAAGGATGCTAAGAGGGCAGAGCAGACGCAGAATAAATGAGCAGGTCAAAAAAGGAAGATAACTCAAAGATGCTCAGGGTCAAGCCTGGGGGGGGGGGGTGGAAATCCTAGAGAAAGTCTATCCAAATACTTGCAGCCATAGGGCTTTTGAAGAAAGGACAACCGTTTAGGAAAAAGGTCCTTGCCTGAGGGCGAGACTGGACAGAGGGAGCCTGAGTGGGAGAAACTGAGGGAGCCCTGGAAACGGAAGCTAGAATATCTCTTCATGCAGGAAGCTTGAGAAGACACCAGAGCATTCAGAAGGACTGAAGGGTGAGAACTGAAATTTCCAGAGAAGAACAAGAAAAGGGCTGAAAAGCCAGGGCCCCTGGAACCTCATGAGCCACTTCCAGGTGCATCCCCGCATCCACCCTGTTTGGGTAAAACTAGTCACTGAGGGCTATTCCCCACTGCCCTACTAAAAACTCCATACCCAACCTGGAAGAGTAGAAGCCTCAGAGAGATGCAGTCCTGTCTGTGGGAAGTTCACACTCTTAAGAGGAGACAAAGAACCGTCCATGTCCCCAATCTCTGAGGGAGCCTCTGATCTAAGGAACCCACCACATGCAAGTCACAAAACTGAGGAACAAACAGCAACTAGTGCAAATTAACATAGTGCTTGAAGTGTGAAGCCAGAAAAAGTGCATATTAAGGTGCCACGGAGACCTGGGAAGATACAAATCGGGACCCTCCACACCTTAGGACTCAGGCCACTAGATGTCATCTCATTCCCTGTGCACACTCCTGGGTGGGGCGCCTCAGTGCCCTTCAGCAACTACTTTGGCTGCATGGACTGGGAAAAATCAACATTGCCAGGAGGCCTGGAGTGAAGAGTCCCCCCACTGAGGAGCCCCAGGCCTTGGAGGAGCCTGGTGGGAGAGCTTGCTCTCTACTATCTTCCTCCTTTTTCCACAATCTTTCATCTTGTCCTCACAAGATTCATGGCCTCATAACCTCTGGCTGTTTTGTGTGGTTTCCTCTCCAACTAAGTAGAAGCTTCTAGGGGATAAAAACCAGGTTTTCTCCACACCCTGCAGGGCTGGAATGCAACAAACATTTGTCACAGGTGGGCTATCTGGAGTATTGATTGAAAGAATTTTTTCCACAAACAGCAAACACGTCAAAACCATTTCATTAGTATTCTTTGCCCTAACAATTGCATTTGACACCCACCTCTCTGATGGCTCATGCCTATATACTGTATCCAGCTCAGACTGAGGATTGTACCTACCTAGGGTTTGTCAAGAAACATCAGCCCAGCCCGCTTGTGGGAACAATGGAAGGGTATGTGGCCCAAGAGTCTTTGGTGGGGGCAGAGGGAGAGTGTCCCCATACTAGGCTAGCCCATTGATAAGGATCCTTCCCCTCTCTGTCTCCTAACAGATTCAGATTAATGATCGCTCATTCCTAATTGTCAAATTTCTTTTCCTTCATCCTGTGTCTAATCACCAGTGACAGAAACCATTACGCAAATGAGAGCATACGACTTCCCCCAACTGTTCGCGTTGGTAAAAACCTTGTAATTTAGAGCTCTGATTTGTAGGGGAAGCTGGTCTCCTCCAGGCATCCTGGGCATCTGCTCAACTGATGCCCAGAACAGCCCCTCCTCCCTCCCCTGAATTCCAACCCCCCAACAAATATTTGACTTCACAAAAGAGCAGTTTCCTTTGTACCTGCTGATGTGAAAGTGGGAGCCTGTAACATGGCAGACCTCCATTCAGGTCCAAAGCCCCACCACCTTCCCTTGGCTCCACTCTGCTGGCTAGCATGGTAGTAAGCAACAGAGCAGATATGTTTCTGCAGCTGCAAGTAGAATTTGAGCCTAAACAACCCTAACTTAGCCCTAAGTGAAAAGACTAGGTCTTTTCCTTGGGGGAAAAGGAGGCAACAGAATATGAATAAATGTTCCTAGTTATCACCTAGAACTGGATCTTCAATCCTACAGGTGCAGAAGCAAGCTGGGAGAAGTTATGGGTCCTATTCAAGAAAAAAAAAATGCACTGGGATCTAGAACTCAGTTTCCCCACACTCCTTCCAGCATTCTTAACTTAGAACAGGGCTTCCCAGTAGTTCTCCCAAGAGTCCAAAAAAGCTTTTACCCTAAGCTATACCTTGTGGTCCAAAAAAGCTTTTAGCTGGAGTCCAAAAAAGCTTTTACCCTAAGCTATACCTTGTGGACCCTCATGGACAATGCCCAGTGGCATGAGATCTGAGGACGGACTATAGTTCAAGGGAAGTGGCAAGGTAGGAGAACCAACAGTTTTGTGGATAGGGAGTAGCAGGGGGTTTGCAGTCAAATTAACATTAGGTTCAAATCTTGATTGCCACTAATCACTGAAACCTCTCTGAGTCCATTTCTTTAGCTGTGAAAGGAAAATACCTACCTGGCAGGATGAGAACCAAAGATAAAAGCACTAGGCTGTTATTAGGTGTCTTAATAATCAGGGTCACTATTATATTACCCAAGGGTCAGGACCAATCCTGTAAAGGACCCTTCTCCTATGTCGCCTTAGGTCAGATCTGTGTCAGCACAGCACTCAACAAGGATCAGTTGAGTGGCACATGCCTCCCTGCTGCACATCGCCCACATCTTTGAGGGCTGAGCCAGGAACACAGCAGACCTGCTAAGGAGAACAAAAATAATCTGCTATCTTTCAAAGTTTGGCTGTAGTCACGTTTATCCTCTGCCTTGTTTTCTTTGCTAATGCTCCTCTTTCCCAAGAAATGGAGGGATGGAGATCACTGCAATCACATTTTCCAGCATTGGCTATATTTGAAAGAACTACACTTGAGAAGGTAGGTACCGTGTTTGCACACCCACACTGCATCAGAGAACCCCAGAATGGGGCACTAAAAATAAACACCCCTATCCAAAATACACACACAGGTGCACACATGCATACACACACACCCTCTCAGTCCATCAGTGCGCTGTAACTGTAAACTGAGCTTTGGGGGTTAGAGCCACAGCTCAGACACTGAAAGTAAACCTTTGGCAAAAGAAAAAAAAAAAAAGGAAAAACCCCAGAGTTTTCCAACTCTTCTTTCCTTCCAGACAGAGAGAAGGGGCATAGAGATGGAAGTGGAGGTGAGAAAACAAAGGGCCATAAGGCCACCATACTGCCCAATTCCAGTGGCCCCAGTTCTACTGAATCATGTGACTGATGGCCCTCTGCATTGTGCAGTGCCCAGCTGTAAGCTGTAGCCCTGAGAGGGGTTCCCACAAGTAACAATGAACCGAAAAGGAAATTCCACTTCTGTGCTCTGTCAGTTGCCCTGACTTTCAAGGGTGTTTGTGGAACATTACAGTGGGGTCTGGCAGAGGTGCTGGCTTTAAGAGGCAAGGCTACATTTTTGTCCTTGACCTGAGGTGGATGACAGGTGGTAAGTTAGCTACCTAAGCTGGACCCCATTTCATCTACTCAGCCAGGAAGCTCCAAGGAAGAGAGGATGTGGCCTGGGCAGGGAGGGTCACAGGACCTGGAGGCTCTAGCCAGTCAGCCTCAAGCAGGTTGCAGTGAGACCTGACCAACATCCAATGGATAAAACTGAGTTTAAAAGCTTTAGGCTAAGTCAGGCTGTACTTCCCTGGGGCTTACACTGTTATGTCCCACTGAATAAGGTTAAGCAGTGGAGAAACTTGGTAAGCAGAGAGGCAGGCCAGTGTGGACGGGGACACACAGACACACATACAGACATACACATACACACACACACACACACACACACACACACACACACACACACAGGCTTATACCCCTAGAACCTAGAGAAGCCACTACTAGGAGGACTCCCTTGGTACTCAGCACAGAGAGCAAGAGCTGGTGCCGAAAGAGAGAAGCTGTATGTGTCTCTAGTTTGGAACTTGTGCATAATCCTTGGGTTTCATGTCCCAAGGTTCTTTTCTATGTATGGCTTGAGCTTAAAGGTTCAAGTTAGAACTCTCTAATTCTCTCACAGGAAGGTCATCTAGGCTCTTAGAGGCAAGCCTCCTTCTCACTCTCCCCATTAGGAGTCCCAGTAACCATTCCCACCCAGCCTAGAGCCTGACTGTGAAAACTGGAAGGAGGAAGACTGGCCCTGCAGCCCAAACATCGTGGGCATCCAAGACCATCTAACTCTCAGGCTGAGGCACTGAGGTTGCAGGAGACAGGACTGAGAGCCAGCAGTGGCATCCTGACCCAGAAGGAGAAAGCAAGGAACAGATACATCCACGCGTGTGCATGCACACACACGCACACACATCCCGAGGGTGACAGATGGACACACACACAGACGTGATGACAACCAGAAGCTGGGACTCCACACACTGAATGCAGGACCTTAGGGGGGGGCAGAGAGGGAAGATGCTGGGGCACAGAGGCAAGGGCAAGAAGTCCCTCCAAATGGGAGTGGAGCGCCAACCACCCTGCCTTGCCCCAAACACCTGCCTCCAGGGCCATGGCAAGAGTCCAGTCCATTAAGTGCAGCGTGCAATACTAGCGCTTGGAGTCTCCTGTCCTCATCAATGAAGCGGTGTGGACGGGCTAGCAGTCACCTGGCAGGAGGCCTCGACTCCTGGCAGGCTAGTTGTATCGACCCTTGATCATTGTGTTCAACAAGGGCCCCACCTGTGAAGAGACATGAGGAGCCAGTCAGAACTGCCTGTCCCTTGGCCCTGGAGCCAGACATGGTGTGTCTTGAAGCACTGTATGTCCAGCCAAGGGGAGGGACAAGGCTTTCATTCAATCTTGTAAACCCCCTAGCCTACTCTCTTCCTGGAGAATATTCCAGGACATGGCCCTCTCCTCTGGGCCCATATTGTATTACCTTCCCTCTCACAATACCCTGTAAGCAGCACCAAACTGACAGACAGAAGGTCAGAGGAGCCAATAATCCCCCAAAACCCAAGAGTGCCTGCATGCTTCTTAAATGAGTTTTAAGAAGGTTAAATGCGTCTGTATCCCGAAACGGTCACCTGCAACTGGGGCTGGTGCCACCTCCCAATCCCACAGGTCCTCTGGATGCTGAGGCTATCCATAGGAAGAAGGCAAGAGCATTACAAATATCTCCCCTGGGTACCCAATGGGCCACTGGCACACCTGTGTGGGAAGCAGGTCTCAACATTACCTAGAGCAGCCTTGGCACAGCTGGGAGAGCGTGAGGAGATGCTTTACTGCTCACTTCCCATTCCAGAAGAATCCCCTCAGGGGTCCCCAGCTGGCACACAAGCCCCATGGGGAACATTACCACTAGCATGGAACAGATTATAATTGATCCACCAGTCAAGCCCAGCTCTCACCAGAAAACAAAGATTTTCTGAACACGCCCATAACCTCTATGGAGAGAAAGGACACCAGATACTGAAACAGAGCTATGGAGAATGTGACACCAATCCTGATTTTCCCTGGTCACTCTTGCCCACTGGGCCACAGGAGTGCCACCTTGGGGCAGCCACATACCTCTTGTGGGTTCCCCAAGGCCTCTCCAAGCATCTTCTCAATGTTTCTCATTATGGCCACTTTCTGGTGGGCTTTGAGAGGATATTCAATTCTCTTAGGGGTGGGGGCCCCCTGCAAAGGAAGCAGCAGCTCAGGAAATGCCTTTAGCAGCAGGCTTCAGTATAACCCATGATTCCAGTGCCTTCACCCCTTCTAAGAAACCCAGTTTGACCCCAACCCTCCTTCATCTCCCCGAAGACCTAGGAATCACTTTTAGAGACAGCCAACCTCCCCGCCCTGCCCCCAAATCATTTATTACACCTACCTTACCCCAATCCCATCTAGAGGAAAAAACCCATATTCACCTTATACCAGAAGTTCACAGTGATGGTAATCCCCCCATTTAGTAATGACTCTATGTGATGCCACCTGTAAGAAAATAAACATGCTCCTGTTTGCCACCAATATTCTCTAGAAGGAGAGATGGAAAACTAGGAAAAGTCCAGCTGAAACAAATTATAAGGACATTATCTTTATACTCATCCTGCCAAACAGACCCCGGAATCAGAGGCAGTGGTGTTCAGTTTCCAAATACAAAAGAGCCAAGAATAGTTTCTCCAGCCTCAAGCCTCTGGGATCTCTTTGGACCTGAGGAACTGTCATCTTGTCTGAGAGATTAGGTTGTCATTTCCCCCATGTTCAGTATGCTCACATCTGGATATGCCAACCTTCCTGTAGATCACAGAAGACTAATCCTGCCATAACTCAGAAGGGACACAGATACAGCTTTTCTGGGAATGGGAAAGAAAGCTCTCAAGAAGCCCCCAGTCCTAACCCCCTCCTCACCAGTACATTGGGATGTAAAGAACATCACCAGGGCCAACCACTGTTTCATAACCAACCACGTTCTGGAAATTGGGAAACCTCTCGTAGTCAGGATTGTCAAAGTCCACCTGAGAGGTTCAAGAGAAAGAAAAAAAAAAATCAGTCAATCACCAAATCTTTATTGATAACTGTGATGTGCTAGTTTGGTGGCAATAAAAAGATGGCTTTAAGAAAAAAGATGCATTTAGAGATTATATTCAGCAGAAGATACCATATACACATTAAACATACACGCTCTCTCTCAGAAAACGGTGTAAGATAGGCCATGCTTGAAGATTAAGTGATAAAGAAACCTGGGCCTCAGTGTTCCTGAGGTCAGAAGCCAATCATCACAGCTCGCAGGTTAGAAAACCTACTCATGGCCTGCAGATATGAGGAATGAGGATGCATCCTTCAACCAAATCCTCTGAAACTTTCTCTCACACATATAGTCCTGCCAGCAAAAACTCCTGCATGAAGTGGCTAGGCAGTTTTCTCCTCAAGAAAGGAGAGGACCTCTCTGGTTGGCCATAAGGTCAACCAGATACTTCTTTCAAATCCAAGAAAGACAGTAAGTAACATATGACAATTCTAGCGTTCTCCTTATCAAAAAGTAGCAGCATCCATGACACAGAAAACAATTATTCGATCCAACGGAGACATACACATTCAAACAGGATAACCAGAGTGCACCAGCAGCAGTGATGGGGTCTGCCCTCCAGAATTAGCTCAATGGGGCTGTTTATCATTATAAACACCTAGGGACCACCACAAGGGCCTGGATTATATGAGCTACACTGTGAAATTATCCTGAGTTTATCCACAGGAAGGGGAAAGACATGCCAAGCCCAGATCCCAAAGGAGTTCTATACCCTCCTCAGACCACACAAGCTCACCTGGCTCTGTCTGTCACATGGGTGATGAACAGGATATGGGTACAGGCACTCAAACTGATCCGGAGGGAATAAAATGCATCGCTTGTGGCCTTTTATCTGAGCAAAGAAGTTCTGCTGCTCATCATAGTGAGCAGGTGTTACATTTCCTGTAGAAGGAAAGACATTTTCTTATTCAGAGCAATGGCTCTAGTGCATAGGCTGGAGGGGAACCCAGCCTGCCCTCTCAGCTAAGGGTTCCCAATCAAAATTTCAAGCAGAATCGGGAAGATCTGATAACAATTACAACTCTTAGCAAATTAGCTGTTACCCTTTCAGTGAGTAATAGGTTGTTCAGAAACCATTGCTGGCTAAGAGTTCACCATCGATTAGAGGAAAGCAAACTTTCATAAATGATGCTTCTGTCCTTACTGGAAGCAGCAGCACATCAACATGATATTCACAAGTCTGGCAAAGTAATATACTCTGCATACTTGTACTCTTCTTGACTACAGCAAGAATTCAAGGGTAGCAAAGCAAGTTACAAACAACTGAAATGACTGGTATCAACAACACATGCATAATCTTCTTTGACAGTTAACCAGTTATTTTAAGTTGTATGGATATATACTTGCTTTGGGTAGCTGTTTTGGAGCTCAGAGATTCTCAACCTTTGCTCCCACTTTAATACACTTGTGGAATGCAACACTTCTTAGAACAATGGGGCTGTTAATTTTCATGGAGGCATGGGGAAAGCATATCAGATTCCTGAAGTGTTCTATAATTTGAATAAGGCAAATTATTTAAGGTGCTAACTTGAATTAGTTCTACCCTAGTGTATGTATGCTCCATCTACTCTTTTTAACTGGGATCTCATCTGTTGTCTATCCTTTGCACAATCCCTGAGAGCCAAGGGGCCCTCTGCAGGGCATGGAGTTTAAAAAACATTCCCCAGGTCTTCCTGGGTAGGCCAAGACAGCGTGGCCTTCTTTAATGTTGAGAGTCCAAGTGCACCCTCAAAGGAGATTTGCTCTCTCAACCCTACCTGAGGGATCTGCTTCTGTGCACTCTACCAAAGGGCAGGAAGGCAACAGAAAAACATAGCTAAGTAAGTCAGAAAACTAGCTCCTGGTGGGTTAATCAAGAGTTGGTTTCAAAGAGGCAGGTTAGGGGTACAATCCATAAGCTTCATTGGTAGAAATCTTTATTAACACTGACAGCAAAGGATCCAAATCTGAAGAAAGGACAATAAAGGAGGAAACAAGGCTTCAGAACCCAGTAGTGAATGACAACAAATAATTACTCTGCTTCTTTGTTTAATCCAACTTATTCACCATTTACTAAGTACCATTTACAGGTCTGGCCTTGAGCTAGTACCAGAAATAAAAGTAAGAAAGAGTTAGTAAGCCGCTCTCCTTCCTATGATTGGAGTTTAAAGGCTTCTCCTCTCATTCAAATGGAAGGGAAAAAAAGAATATATTCGCATATTTGCTCGTGTATGCATAAAATCCTCCAACAGGATACACAAACAACTAATAACATATGGTGCCTCCAGGGAGGGATATCGGAAGGCTGGAAAATAGAGGAGTGGAAGAGAGATTTATCATTACATGCCTATTTATACCTTTTGGACTTAACTCCATAAATACGTTAACCTTCAAGAGATAAGGTCCAATTTATATTGAAAAAATAAGCTTTCTTCTTCTACTGAAATAAAAATGTTCTGAATACAGAAAATTCAATAAAGAATAATATTGCAGGAAGATTCCTAATACCTAAGTATACATGCTCATGCAGCAACTGAGGAAGGGAAGAGAGAACTAATTTTCCTTTTTAGAGTCCATAAATCGCTTTATGTGCTATCTCATTTATCCTTCATAGCTATTTATAAGATACTATCATATTCCTTTCACAGATGAGGAAGCTAAGGTTTAAGAAAATCAAATGACTTGTTCAAAGTCATAAAGCAAATGAGTGGTGAAGACAGGCCGGGAAATCAGGTTTGTGTAACTCCAAACTATGCTACTTTCTGAAAGACTTCTTACCTTCCATGCCGATGAGCAGCAGGTTGGATGTCAGCTGTCCCCAGCCACGCTTTCCCTGTTGCTTGTTAATCCAGTTCCAGTTAAAACCCAAGAAGTCCATGACAATCTTCCGGCCCACAGTGTCATTGAGTGTTTGCTGCAGATACAACCTATGTTCCCCGAGAATAAAATGCCATTAGTGCACATACGGTCCTTTGGCATGGCCTCCACACACCTGGAAATCCATATCCACACCAGTACCTCTCACAGAGAACAGCTGCAGCCATGCAAATCTTATCCAAGACAGATTCTCACAGAACTGAATCCTTGTCAATCCTTGCTTATCTTTCTTTGAATTCTATTCAACACCTAACTTGCTACTTTAAAAAGAAGTGATTCCTTTTATTTTTTTTTTAAGTAAGCTCTACACCCTTAGTGAGGTTTGAACTCACAACTCCAAGATAAAGAGTTGCATGCTCTACCAACTGAGCCAGACAGGCACCCCTGAAGAAATGATTCTTAAATTTTTCTGGATCACAGCATAAATCTAAGAATCCAAGGAACATTTCCATAAAAGTTTACATACACATAAGACTTTCATACAATTTCATAGATTCCTCAACATCTATTCAGAGTCTAGAATGATCAATCAGCCTTTCTCCAGAGACTCTCAGGGCTTCAGACATCCTCTTTGGCCCTCAATGGGGCTCTATCTATTATGATAGATCATATTACTGTTCACGAAGAGCTAGTTCCCTCCCTGTGGAGTTAATTCTCGTGTATCCCCTTGCAGCCACGCTTGCTTATTTTACTCACTTTGACCAATGAGACGTCCACAAAAATTATTTGTGTTGCTTCCAAACTGTAATTTGACTACCACCACATTTCTTTCCTTCTGCTAATCAGCTGCAAGGTTTCAGACTGTAACTGCTGGGGCAATCTGGGTCCCAAAATGAAAAAGATGGCTTAACAGCAGAGCTTATACATGACCTACGATGGACATGCAGCGTAACTGTTGTTATAAACCTAAATAAACCTTTGTTGTTTCAAGTCACTGCCTCTGGCTTGAAGCCTAGTTTATCTTAACTAATTCAGCCACCTCTCTGTAGCAGCCTCCTACAGCTGAAGGCTTCATCAGGCTTTCAGCAGACCCGGGGCTCCTATACACCGAGGAAGACCAGAAATTACTTAACAGATATGAAAACCCAGACACATTTGCTCAAGTCCCACAAGGAACATTAATAAAAGGGCAAACATGAAGAGAAAACACAAAAGAAGCCCTGTAAGGAGCCCTGTTCTAGTCCTGAGAATGTTACTTCAAAGGGCTCAAAGGTATCTGAGTGCCTAGAATCAGGATATTTAAGGCAATATTACTAGAAATTTTGGTAAGTTCTAAACAGTAGCTACCTTTTGGGAAACAAGGAACCTTCAAGACTCAAACTCAACCTTTGTACTCTCCCCAGAAATAAAATATTCATACAAAACTTTTGCCAAGTAACTTTGAAAGAGGCAGACCCCTCACCAAACATGAATCCAAACTACTCCTATTACATCTCTACAGTAAATGGTCAAAAGTGCTCAAAGAGGAATCACAGAATTCCTTGAATCATAACAACCTGCCCAATTCCACAGTGGAACTGACTGGTGGTAAAGTCAGCTGGTAGGGCAAAACTTGTGCATAAGAAAAAAATTTTCCTTGAATCACTCATAAAGTACAGACTACACTCATAGCATATACTTAGTGGGGCAAACTACTCTTCCTTTGGGAGGCAGGAAACTTAAAGTGACTGAGGAATGAGGAATCATGTGTCTTTTCTCATGCTCCTTCCATTGCAAATGTTCATTCGATGTGTTACATTCCACCAGCACCATTTAATCGACCTGTCTCTCTTAATGTTGGGGGGTAGGGGATGGATGTGTGCACATATACATGTACATGCTATGTAAAATTTGAGGAACCTTAAGCAGAAAACTTATGTATTTTTAAAACATAAGGAATTGATCAATCAGTTGAGACCCTGGAAATTCTTTTTTGGTCAAAGTCCTAGCACTATGATAGCTGCTAAATGTCAGGAAGACACACACACACACACACACACACACACACACACACGGTATTTCAAATCCATTCGCTCAGCCACATGCTGCTGAGCAAACGGATTTGCAGAGAGTCAGGAAAAAAACTGAGGCAGGAGATTAAAGACAAGCCCAGAGTTGGGCACCACGTGTGAGATGGAGATACTCAGTATCCCCAGAAGCAATTCCCCAGAAGCAATGTTATACTGTGGAACTGAAGGCTGTCTGGGACCTATCAAAGAGGCTATCCTCACATATAAGGATAAAAGCACAGAGAACAGTCAGTTCTGAATGTGCCATGATACAGGGTGCAAACTGACAGTCTCAGGGCTAAATCCAATGATAGTTGTTTTTTCGTTTTTGTATGGCACCTCACAGTATTTTTAAAAATCTGAATTAGCTGCCCACATTTAAAAGTAAAAAAAAAAAAAAAAAAAAAAATTAAAGTAAAAATCCTAATTCCTGGCTTCTCAAAAAATAAGAGTGTATCTGGCAACCTTTCACTCCCAAGTAGAAACAAGAGTCAAGTAATGACTTCTCATTTTGACAGGGCATACGCTTTCAGATTCATTGTAGTTTTCACCGAAACAATTTCACTCATTTTGTTCACCTACCTAATCCTTCTACGCGACTGTGACTGTCACTTAATGAAGATGACAAAAAGCTACAGAGTCACAGTTCAAATCTAATAATTGTCTCATCTCTGAAGTTACAGAACTCATCCAACTCCTCCATATGCTCAAATAATTACAAGAAAGGAAAATGGATACCCTTGATTCAATGGAAAACCACGATCTGGGAACCTACCTCTCTTCCCCTCCTTGCTGCTGTATATCCTGCAGTTTCTCAACAAACTCATGAAATTTCATTTCCTCCCTGTTGGACCTGGGTTTAAAGTTCTGGAAGTTAGCCATCTTCTTCTCATCATAGTACAAGAACTTGTGGGTACTGGCACTGTACACAGAGAAGTCTCCGTTGCCAATGTTCTCCTGCAGGTATTCAAGGTCCCATTTCAGAGCAGGATACACAAGATTTGTGTCTGTCAGCACCACAGGCTCCTAAGTGAAAACAAACAAATGAAATCATCCCACGGAGCTGGCGATTCTTGTCCCATGACTCCAACAACTTCCCCAATTCGGAACACTTTCTCCCGTGAAAAAGCACGAACTCCGTAAGTCCCATTTCTCCTCGCCTCCTCCTCTATCTTCCCTTAAGCCGTAGTCCACAGCCCGGCCAATGCCCGCCTTGTGTGACCGTTCGCTTTTGACTTCTCTCAACCAGGTCTCTTCCCCCTCCCCCTTCGGACGGGGCCCCGCCCCCTACCTCATTCTCGATAAGCTCCTCCGCCCGGGGGTCGCTCTGACTCAGACGCGGGATGGGCCGGGTCGGGAAGCTATAACTACGCAGTTGGGACTCATCCCAGGCGAGGCTGGGGCCTTCAGCCTCTTCCCGGGGTTCTTCAGAGCCGGAGGCCGCAGCCTCCGTCGCTGTCGCCGCCATGTCCGTCGCTACAGACAGCCCCACCGGAACCGGAAGCCCCGCCTATTCCGGGTAAAACACAACGGAAACCATAGAGATGGACTGCGCGCGAGAGCAGTCCAGAGACACAAAGAACGCGGAACCCGGCGTGGGGGAGCTCCCCCTGTCGGTGACCAACAGCTTTACACTCTAAGCTCCGCCGGTGAAGACTTGGGGCGCAGAGGTTAGTCCCACTCACTCACTGATCACCTGGTTAACGAATCCCCCAAATATTACTGCTGCGTCAGTGTGCCCAGGCCTAAACAAGAAGACAAGAAGAAAGCCAGTTTAGTGGGGCGTTGAACTTTACAGTCATGGATGGGGAGCGAAGCAAACACTTGACCTACTTAAGGAAGTCAGAAGAAAAAGCAATTAGTCAGATTGATAGATTTGGGCAAAGGTTGCTTTAAAGGCCTAGACAAAAGATAGATGGCAAGTTGAATTCTTTTAAAATCAAAGATGGTTATCTGTCTTTAGCATCATTTTATTTGTCTCTCTTTTTTTTCTCTTTACCACTTAAAGATGTTTAGGCCATGGGACCAAGCTTATTATTAATGGCCAACCATGAGCGTTCTGACATTTTCAAACAATTTATATTGGCTATAAAAGGCCTTATCAATTACTTCAATGGAGTATTTAGGCGATTTTTATGAATGACTGTGGGAGGCCAAATTCTAAGATGGATCCAAAGATTTCCATCCCTTGGTATACATGCTGTATAGGTCTCCCCCCTTGAATAAGAACAGGTCTTATGAATATGGTAGGGTATCCTCCTGTGATGAGGTTATGCTATATGGCAAAAATGTAATTAAGGTTCCTAATCTGTTCATTTTTAGTTTATCAAAAGGGAGATTGATCCTGGGTGGGCCTGATCTAATAACTCTAGCTCTTTAAATCTGGGTAGAGGTCAGTGACAGAAGTCAGAAAGATTTGAAGCCAAAGAAGTTCTCCTATTGACTTTGAAGGAGAAGCTGCTATGTGGCAGAGAATGGTAGGTAGGCTCTAGAAGATAAAAAAGGCTCCTGGTTGGCATCCAGCAAGAAAGCAGGGACCTCAGTCCTACAACTGCAGGAACTGAATTTTGCCAACAATCACTGAGCTTGGAAAAAGACACAGAGCTTCAGATGAGGACAACAGCCCCCAGAAATACCTTACTTTTAGCTTGGTGAGACCCTGAGATAAGACCCACCTAAACTCTGCCTGGACTCCTGACTCATGGAAAATGTGAGACAATTAATTGGTGTTGTTTGGAGCTGCTAAATTTATGGTAATGTTATGCAGCAATAAAAAACTAATACACTAACTTAACTACATAATTATGGTACAGTGACTATGCTACACCAAACTGATAATGGGATTACTTCTGTGGAGGGTTTAGGGTTGTGGGTGCCAACCAAGGCTTCAGTTTTATCTGCATGTTTGGATTTTTACAAGAGCATATTAATATATACCCTTGGGAATTAAGAATAATTAGAGCAAGAAGATTTAAATTACTAAAATCAAGAAAGAAAGAAGAGTCATTACTACTGACTTTACAAAAATAAAAGGGAGTACAAGGGAATACTATGTACAATGGTATGCCAAAAAATTAGATAACCTGGATGAAATGGGCAAATTCCTAGAAAGGCACATACCATCATAACTGATTTAAGAAGAAATAGGAAATCTGAATAGACTTACAAGTGAAGAGATTAAATTAGGAATAAAAAAACATTCCACAAAGAAAAGCCCAGGACCAAATGTATTCACTGATAAATCTTACCAAACATTTTATTTTATTTTTAAAAAGAGTTTATTTATTTATTCATGAGAGACACACAGAGAGAGGCAGAGACACAGGCAGAGGGAGAAGCAGGCTCCCTTCAGGGAGCCTGATGTCAGACTTGATTCTGGACCCTGGGATCTCGACCTGAGCCAAAGGCAGATGCCTCACCACTGAGCCACCCAGGTGCCCCATTACCAGACATTTTAAAAGGCACTAACACCAATCCTTTACAAACTTTCAGAAAAAATAGAAGAGAGAACACTCCCCAACTATGGGAAAAGCTATCCTGATACCAAAATGGGACAGAGGTATAACACGAAAAAGGGACTACAGACCAATAGCCCTTATGAATATAGTTGCAAAAATCTCCAACAAAACACTAGGAAACCAAATCCAGCACCATATTAAGAAGGATTAAATACCATGACCAGGTAGAATTTATTCCAGAAATGCAAAGTTAGTTCAACATCTGAAAATTAACCATATTAGTAGAAGAAAAAATAATCACATCATCTCAATAGATGACAGAAAGCTTTTGACAAATTCCAACACCTGAAAGGATAAAAATGGGGTCCCAAAGGACACCATCAAGAAAGTAAAAAAGACAATCCATAGAACAGGAGAAAATATTTACAAAGTATATAGCTGATAAGTGACTTGTATCTAGAATACATAAATAACTCTTACAACTCAGCAATAAAAAGTAAACCCAATTAAGAAATGGATGAAAGACTTGAGTAGACATTTTTCCAAAGAAGATATACTGTAACCAATAAGCACATGAAAAGATGCTCAACATCTTTAGTAATCAGGGTAGTGCAAATCAAAACCACAATGAGATACCTTTCACAGCCATTGGGATGACTATAATAATAATTTTAAAAAGACAGTAGCAAGTGTTGGCAAGAAGGTAGAAAAATTGGAACCCTCTTATGCTGCTAGTGGGAATGTAAAATGGTGCAGTTTCTTTGAAAGTTTCGTAGTTCTGCAGAAAGTTAAACATAGAGTTATCCTATGATCTTTCTTTTTTAAAAATTTTTATTTATTTATGATAGTCACACACACAGAGAGAGAGAGAGAGAGGCAGAGACACAGGCAGAGGGAGAAGCAGGCTCCATGCACCGGAAGCCCAATGTGGGACTCGATCTGGGTCTGCAGGATCACGCCCTGGGCCAAAGGCAGGCGCCAAACCGCTGTGCCACCCAGGGATCCCCATGATCTTTCTTTCTTAGCAATTCTACTGCTAGGTACATACTGCAGAGAATTGAAAACATACATCCACACAAAAAGCTGTACAAGAATATTCACAGCAGCATTATTTATAATAGCCTCAACGTGGAAATAACCCAAATATCTATCAACAATGAGTGTTTAAACAAAAAGTTGCAATCAATATGACAATATTATTTGGCCATAAAAAGGAATGAAGAATTGACATATATTACAACCCTGGACCAACCTTGAAAATATTATGCTAAGTGAAGTAAGTCAGACACAAAAGGTTATATGTTGCCTGATTCTATTTATATGAAATGTCCAGAATAGGCGAATCCATCCAGACAGTAGATTAGTGGTTGCCAGGGGCCAGGGGTAGGGGAGATACACTAACAGGGACAGGAGTTCTTTTGCGGGGAGGTGGGGGTGGTGGGGTGGTGGTGGTGGTGGTAATGAAAACAGTTTAGAATTAGTGGTGATAATTGCATAACTTTGTAAATATATTAAAAATCAATTTTATTGTATACTTTAAAGAGATGAATTTTATGGTATGTGAATTATATCTTGATAATAGTAAATAAATTATAGCCACTTGTTTCTTTCTTTCTTTCTTTTCTTTTTTTTTGCCACTCTTGTTTCTTGACCCAAATTAGGTCAGGGCTTGCTATTGATTGAATGCAGATATTGTACAATTATTTTCAACATCAACCAGTGATGCTTATTTACAAGAGGGCAAGTTGTTGTGAAGTAGTTCTCCCTCAAATTTATATGGCAAGTGGTATATATAATTGTTATTGTTTTATTTATTTATTTATTTTTTTAGTATTTTTTTTAAATTTTTTTATTTATTTATGATAGTCACAGAGAGAGAGAGAGAGAGAGAGAGAGAGGCAGAGACACAGGCAGAGGGAGAAGCAGGCTCCATGCACCGGGAACCCGACGTGGGATTCGATCCCGGGTCTCCAGGATCGCGCCCTGGGCCAAAGGCAGGCGCCAAACCGCTGCGCCACTCAGGGATCCCTTGTTATTGTTTTAATATATATTTGAGAATGTCTGTAATAATGGATTCTGCAGTAACACAGTAATCACCCTAAAAGTTGTTGGAGATGTATGTACATTTATATTGTATAAATTATGCAATTCCTGTTTGTGTAAAAGTGAAAACATAATCGTATGCAAACACGATAATATCCCCCATTCTTCTATTAAGCTAGTTTGTTAACTGTGGTCTGGCTTGATATCTATTAATATAAGTCCTAGCCAATCTGAGGCTTTAGCTAGTCTGAGAAGAGCTGCTTTAGATGCTACGATTGGTCTTACATTTGTTGGGTTGAGGTGAGTGGGGCATTCAAATATAAACACGGAGTAAAATTGAGGAGCGAATTCCAGGCCGATTTGTGTGTTGCATCATTCCTCTACGAGATCAACCAACTTGCAGAACAGAACAAGAGCAAGGAAGACCACGGGCTGAATTTGAAGAATGATCACGTTTGGGGACTAAAGGAGGAAGTGCCAGTGAAGGAGAGGAAAAAGGCAAGCAGTCAAGAGAAGGGATTAAGACAGGCTCAGTTGACTTGTACTGCATCTGATATGCTTGGGTTCGGTGTCCCCATTATCCCTGGAAGTGTCTAAGTCAGCTGATGGAGAAAGGGACACAATATGAGATGTCAAAGTAGTGACCTGATTGATTTTCTGTCCTTCCCGCTTTCCCTCTCCGCCTCTATCCATCTTCTTTTCTCACCTTCCCTGCAGCTTCCCAACACGGCTTAAGCCCCGCCCTTGTGGGAGCCTAACGACTTTCCTTCGCTACTGGCTTCCCTCGTCGCGTTTGGCCCGGCTCGGCCGCCGTGACGAGGCCTTTGCGCATGTGCAGGGTGACCCGGGGAGGAAGGTGAAGATGGCGGCGGCCAGGGCTTGGGTCCTGGGAGTCCGAAGGCTGCAAAGGGCTACCCGGACCGTGGTGCCGTTGGGTGCACGGACAGGTCCGCGAGAACGGGCGAGGCCTGAGTGTGGGG